ACCACATAGTCTCCACATGCATACACACATTTGCACATACATGGCTTTTAATTTCTTGTTTGTTTGTTTTGAGAAAGGGTCTCTTTACATAGTCCTGTCTGGAACTCACTATGTTGACCAGGATGGCTTTGAACTTACAGAGATCCACCTGCCTCTGCCCCTTGAGTACTGGGATTAAAGTCATGGGCCACTACATCCAACCACACAATTTAAAAAAAAAAAAACTCCATGGCTAACGATGAAGCTCAGAGGTAGGGTGCTTGCCTAGCATGCATAAATTCCTGGGTTTGATTCCCAGCGCCACAAAGCAACCCCCACCTTTACCCCCCCACAAAAAACTCAGCAAGCAGAAAAATGGTGCTTAGCAGAGAAGGAGGAGGGTACATGAGCAGTGATTTGGGGGTACTGAAAAGTAGTCAAGACCCATGCACAACACCGTGGTTGTGTTTAAAATTTTTAATTGCACATTTAAAAAGGTCATAATGGTAAATATATTTAATGTTCTTATTACCATTAAAAAATATGATTATCTAGCCAAAATGTCAGATGTCAAAAATTTATGCATGGTCTATGTAAATGCCAAATGTTCTATTTGTCTATATGAATGTGTTCTCCAATAAACCGAAGTGTATTTTAAAAATTCTACTAGACCTAGATTCTATATTTTCTAGTTGCCTGAGCATGATCTCAAATGAAGCTTTAGATATGATACCTAGAAAATATTTCATAGCTGGGCCTGGCGGTACAGGCAGGCCTGTGTTCCTAATTACTTGGAAGGCCAAAGCAAGAAGTTCATAAGAAAATCACAAGTCTTGGCTACAGAGGGAGTTCAAAGGCCAGCCTGGCCTACAGAGAGAGTTCAAATCAAAGTTGGACAATTTGGTGAAACATCATCTTGTAAGGAAAAGTAAAAAGAGAGCTGGGGTGTAGCTCAGTGGTGGAGTGTGGGAGAACAGAGGTCCTTGTGTTCACAGATGAGCCTTAGGGGAACCAGGAGTGTTAAGTACACAGGGTTGTCTCTCCAAAGGGAGAGACCTCTGACCTGTTTTCTGCTCTGAAGGCTGGAATATGGGAATGATGGTGGCTAATAGCCTGGTGCCCTCTGTGCTATCTGTAATACCAAGACCACACCAGATCCTCCCCAGCCCCTTACTGTGAGCTTGTCAATCTATAGGTCCATCTTTATGAAAGATGCCACAGTACTCCACAAAGAGTATTGAAGTAGTTGTGTCTTAAGCTTTATTGTGCACACGGGATTAAGTTAATTGTCTCCCTTGAGCCCTGAGGCTAAAACTGATTAATATCTAGTTCCAGCGTGCCTGGGCCAGGGGAAGGCCATCTTGGAAGGTGGGCACTAAGATTATATTTGAAAAGCACTTTCAGGGAGAAGAGGGAGGACTTTGAGAATGGGCTTTCCAATAAAGTAAAAGCCTACCCAAGGTGACACAGGTCTCAGTCATATTATTGGCTTTTCTGGAACCTGGGGTGCTCAGAACAAGCATGAACAAAGGGCAGAAGCTGAGGCCCCTGGCTCGTAGGGCCTAGCAACACAGTTAATCCGGTCCCTGGATCCAACCACATTTTGATTTTGCAGTAAGTGACACAAGTCAGTAAGTTCCCTGCCCTTTTGCAGAAGCCAGTTTAAATGTCCTTGTAAACAAAAAGCATCATACAGCTCATTCAAGTCAGGTTTGGGAGTTAGGAAGCCAGGCATGTCAACACTGAGGCCAGCATTTCGTCCACTGCACATATGAAAGGCTTAGCCATGACCTAAACATATACTGTGTGTTCCCCAGACTTAAGAACCAGTGCAGGAGACTCAGTGGAGAGCACATGACATCTGAGTGAGCAGCCATAGACTCCCATCACTGTTGGAGGATAGAGGAACTGCAGCCTGCTCAGCCAGGCTAGGTTCCTGGACCTTCATTCCGTTCTCTCCAGTGTTAGTTCCAAAGTGGGCCCCCCAAAATGACAGACAAAATGCTGCTGACAATGTCCTAAATGACAGCCTGGGCTCTGCTCAGGCTGGACTCTGAGTGGGTAAACAGTAGGAATTGCTATCAGGTAAATAAGAGCACAAATTCAACATTCCTCAGTAATCTAGTGAAGGGAGCTTCTGTTTGTTAGGAAAAGCCATTACTTCCTGTATCTACCCCATCCAGAGTGGCCAACTAAAAGGTCATCTAACTCCTCATTAATCCAAACAGCCTGAAACAGGTCAAAACTCTTAGGCTGAGTCCCAGGCTGCTCTGGCCCACACCTCTCCCTCATTGCTTACTGTTCCCATAAAACTGATAAGGCTTTCCTACTGCCCACCATTCTCTGCCCCCCTGAGAAACAGCCCAGCAGTTTGATTTCCCCAAACAAACTGTTTTCCTATCTACATTGTGGTCTAGTTAGGTGGATTCGCTGAGCCTTTGCTTATACCCAGGATCTCAAGAAAATTTCAAAAATCTGCACCTGCTCTCTATTCAAGAGATTTTTTTTTTTGTGTGTGTGTCCAGAGAGCAATGCAGCTGTTTCAAGTCTGGAAATTTGATGGGCTGCCATACTCAGACAGAAAAAATGACTTGTGGGAAAATGCCAGAGTACCAATGTCACTGGGCTGCAATGACAAAGTAGTGAGAAAATGCTTTCCTACTTCTCAGAATCTGCTGCTCAATCAAAGCCTATCTGGAGGGCATTTTCTAAAGAGCCTAGAAGAAATGGGATGGTGTTGCCCTATCTTGTTAGTGTAAAGATTTGACTGTTAGACACAAGACTAAAAAAATCACAGTGTATGTGGGGTTGTAGTAGGAGATAACTTGGTTGATTTAGTGTCCTCTGCACAAGCATGAGGATCTACCTGAGTTTGGCTCCCATGTGAAGGCTGGGTGCAATGGTGGGCACTTATAATTCCATTGATGGGGAAATGGAGACAGATGGCTCCCTGGAGCTCATTGGCTAGGTAGTTTAGCTGAATGGATGAGCTTTGGGTTCCTTGAAAGATTCCATCTCAAAAAACTAAGATGGAGAGGACAGCAGAATGGCTTAGGGACCAAGACACCTGCCACCAAGCCCGACAACCCGAGTTGAATTCAAGGAGACCACACGGTTGAGGGAAGGAGAGCATCATCTCTGTCAATTGTCCTCCACCCTCCATATGTGCCACAGCAATGCTCCTCCCCCTAAAACAAATAATTAAAAATTTTAAGAAAAAACAAAGTGAATGATAGAGACACTAGATGTCACCAACCTTTGACATTTACAAATGTACATGCATCCAAACACACACATGAATACACACAACCACACAATAAGTAATGATAATTATTATAAACAAGATGAAAATTTATTTCTCTCTCCCATGAAAGCTGCATGCCTGACAGCTCCATTCCTGTCATTAGAGGTATAGGCTCTTCCCATCTCTTTTCCTGAGCCGGGGATGCTGACTCCCATCTGCAGCTTTGAAGGTGAGGCATACCTCTTTTAAAGGCATGCTATAGAAGTTCAAAGGGCTGGAGAGAAGGCTCATCCATTAAAAGCACCTGCTGCTCAATCATGACTGGTGAAGTATGGATTTCAGATTTCATACTGAGCAGCTCACAAATACCTGTAACTCTAGCTCTGAGAGATCTGATACCCTCTTCTGGCCTCGGAGGGTACACATACATGTGTACACATGCTCGCATATATACACATACCATATACACACATGAATAAAATACATTGTTAAAAAACTATAGATTTTGAGTCTGGCTAAGTAAAATGTTTTTACTTTCTTGAAAGTTTTTTTTTTTAAATAAAGTTTATAAAATTAAAGCAAAAAAGGAAGTTGGTCAAGTTCCTTTGGCCACCCAGAGCCACAGCTGCTCATTGTTTTAGGTAGCTGCATGCCCAGCTGAGAAACTGGAAGCCTGTTGCAGAAGATCATAGACTTTCACCCCAGACTCAATGTTTTTGCCCACATGATTCTTTCATGAGGGTGTGTGGATTAAGCATCCCCTCTCTAAACTTTGATAACAAAAACCTTCAGGCATCAGCCAATGTCCCTATGAAGTTCAGGTGGCCTTCAACTAAGAACTACTACTGTGCAGGGAAATAGGAGAAATAGGGAGATATGGGCAACAACTGTCTGCCTGGTTCTGGGGTGTTCTTTCTTTCTTCCTTGCAGGCAGAAGAGGGTGACACCTAAGAATACTTAGAAGCCAAGTGGACCTGACTCCAAATTCTACCCTCAGTTCCATATGAACCATAGTTCTTTCCTGCAGAAAAATTGGCTTGGTTGCTAGGTGCATAGAAACAAGAGTTGATAAGAATGTTCAGCACAGTTACAAGAATCCCTTCCTTGGGACATTAAACAACATTCACTCAACATTCACTCCTCTTAAGGCCTCAACAACAAACCAAAATATGATTCTACCAGAGCCCACCAAGGGATTAAATGTTCTCACTGGGATTTCCATGGATGAAGGATTACTTTATTTTTATTTTATTTTATTTTTTTTTTTTGCGATGGGGTTTCTTTGTGTAACCCTGGCTGTTCTGGAATTTGCTCTGTAGACCAGGCTGGCCTCAAACTCAAGAATTTACCTCTTCCTCAAACCTTGAGCCATGATTGACCTCAGAAACTCTATGTAGCCAAGGATTATCTTGAACTTTTGATTCTTCTACTTTTATCTGTCAAATGCTGGGAGTACAGACACAGTTTACACAGTCTCTGGATCTTGAACTCAGGGCTTCATGTGGGTTAGACAATCATTCTACCAACTAAACTGCAGCTCCAAGTCATCACTAGCTTTTTGGATGTTTTTCTTTAATTAAAAGATTTTGGTTCTCCAAGACACATTACTGCCATCTGCTGGATGTCAAAACAAAAACACAAATCTATGGCATCTGTACAACAATGTGGACAACACTCCTGTAAGCAGGCTGACCTTCACAGTGCACAATCCACTCAGCTGGGAGCGCTAGCCTCAATGTAGGGGACAGAAACTGCAGCCAGATGTTTATTGTATGGTAGTTCAATAAATAACATGGGTTTCTGGAATTGTGACTTTTGTGGCCTCTGGAATAGGGAGATGTTTGATGCCTGGGGCTGACCTGTTTGGGTTGATAAGCACCAGGTCAAGAGAGAGGCAATGTTTTTCTTTGTCTTTTTGGTTCTTAGGTTGGGTCTTGGTCCTTGGCTTCATGGACCCTGCAGAGGGTTTTTTTGAGGCTACCAAAGAGGGTGCCTTCACAATTGTTGTAGAGGATATCTTCATGGTATCTGCAGAGGGTGTCTTCATTACTGATATAGAAGATGCCTTCATGGCATCTGCAGAAGGTGTCTTCATGGCTGATGTAGAGGGTACCTTCATGGCATCTGAAGAGGATGCCTTCATTACTGATATAGAAGATGCCTTCATGGCATCTGCAGAGGGTGTCTTCATGGCTGATGTAGAGGGTACCTTCATGGCATCTGCAGAGGGTGTCTTCATGGCTGATGCAGAGGGTACTTTCATGACATCTGAAGAGGATGCCTTCATTACTGATATAGAGGGTACCTTCATGGCATCTGCAGAGGGTGTCTTCATGGCTGATGTAGAGGGTACCTTCATGGCATCTGCAGAGGGTGTCTTCATGGCTGATGCAGAGGGTACTTTCGTGACATCTGAAGAGGATGCCTTCATTACTAATATAGAGGGTACCTTCATGGCATCTGCAGAGGGTGTCTTCATGGCTGATGCAGAGGGTACTTTCATGACATCTGAAGAGGATGCCTTCATTACTGATATAGAGGGTACCTTCATGGTATCTGCAGAGGGTGTCTTCATGGCTGATGCAGAGGGTACTTTCATGACATCTGAAGAGGATGCCTTCATTACTGATATAGAGGGTACCTTCATGGCATCTGCAGAGGGTGTCTTCATGGCTGATGCAGAGGGTACTTTCATGACATCTGAAGAGGATGCCTTCATTACTGATATAGAGGGTACCTTCATGGTATCTGTAGAGGGTGCATTCCTGGGAGGTCGTAGGGTTGGGTTGATATTATTTCTGAACCCATACATCTGATCAATCAGCTGAAGCCTAGCTGTGGAATCCTTAGGGATGTATGTTTCTGTGGCCTCAGGAATAGAGACATGGGTCTGCAGCTGTGGGGCCAGAAGCTTCCCTGCTATAAGGGGACACAGGTCCAGGCAGTAGAAGTTTTTAGGCTCATAAAGATAGTACCCACAATTCTCTGGGGATTGCTTGGACATTCTTACTAAGTCCTGTGTTTTGAGAAGGGACCCTTTGGGCTTGTTGGTCTTGTAAGATTTGGTGGTGTGTTTGGGGGCTTCTGAAGATGTCTGAAGCAGGATGTAAGTCAATGGCTTTGAGGCTGGGAAAATGTCCTTGGTTGTCATCATGGGGGGGATGTTCTGTGACACTTCAGGTGGCTTCAATCTGAATCAGGGTTCACAGGAGGCAGTGGCTCATGGATGGTGGGTGTGGTACAGAGGTCCCTGGAGATGCTGTCACTGAGGTGACCTCAGAGGCTACCCCATTCCTACAGGAAAAGGAATTTGTGATATTGGAGTAGGAATTCTAGGGAAACTCTTCCAGAAAGGAGGCTCTCTTTTTTCCTACTTCTCATTTATATAGTTATTCTTGCAGTTATTCATGTGTTCATTCATTCACTTCACCTACTCATTCATTCACTTCTCATTTCCTTGTAGGCTGATTCATATAGTCATCCATTCATCCTACATCATTAACTGACTCATACTTTCATTAATTAATCCAATAAATGCTGGACCTGTTGGAACTGGAAACATCTACAAGGATTATGTGCATGCCAGTTATACTGACAAGGTCTTAACACTAGCTTAAGGGCTAGGGAGACACTTAATGGCCCAGGGATGAGGAGATGCTTGGTGAATCAGGGATGGGGAGATGTTCTGTGGTTCAGGGATGAGAAGATGTTCAGTGGTTAAGAGCTCTTAATACTCTTGCTGATAACCTGAGTTCAATTCCTATCACCCAAATGGCAGCTTAAAACCATTTATGACTCCAGTTCCAGGGAACCTAGCAATTCTTCTGGTCTTCATTAGCAACAGGCAAGCATACAGTTCATATATATCCATGCAAGTAAAATGCTCGAACACATAAAATAAAAATAAATAAATCTTTAAAAAATTCAGCTTAAGCCTCTTAAAATTTTCATGAGGAAATTGATTATTATAGTCTGAATATTTGTAATCCCACCCCATGTTACTGTTGAAGTCTGATTTGGGAGTTGTGTAGCAATTTCTTCAAACCTGGAACATTCCATGTGTCCTGGTAAGTTCCTTAAGACTCATAAAGTTCTAAAGGGAGGGTATAAAGACTGATGCTGTAAAAAACTCTCTGGATTCAGGAAGTCCCTGAAACTTAACAGATTCACAAGGTTCCACTCCCTCCAAGCTTATATGAATACCAAGAGTTGTTATATGAGCAGACACTATGAACACTCAATAGCTTTTCCAGTCCAAAGTTCAAAAATGCTACCACAATCCTCCCAAAACACACAAGTTTGTCACAGCAATACCTCATGAGCTGGTATCAATTTCTGTCATAGAGTGTCTATTGCTGTGGTAAAACATCATGACCAAAAGTAACTTAGGCAGGAAAGGGTTCATTCCACCTTGTAGCTTGTAGTCTATCATCCAGGGAAGTTAAGGCAGAAATGGGTGCAGAGGTCATGGAGGAGTGCTGCTTATTGGCTTGCTCCCCGTGAGTTACTCAGCCTGTTTTCTTATGAACTGGGACCACTATCCCAGGGGTTGCCCTGCCCACAGTAGGCTGGGTCTTTCCCTACCAATCACTAATTCAGAAAGTGCCCAAAGGCTTGTACACAGGCCAGTCATGTGGAGGCATTTTCTTAATTGAGGTTCCTTCTTGTCAGGTGACTCCAGCTTGTGTCAAGTTGACAGGAAATGAGCCAGGTCAGCTGCTGAGGAGAGTAGGCTCTCCAATCTGTAGAGCTACCTACAAGTTGAGTAAAGAGCTCCAGGGCTCTAACTTTTATGAACTGTCATCCATATTGATGTGAACTTATGGTGATACAAATTGCCTCTGAGTCATCCGTGCTCTTGTAAAACAAAACAAAACACCCTTTCTGATACTCGGTAGGTAATCCCATTGGTTCACCAAGTTAGATTTTGATTGTATTGTTACCTTGGTCTGTCATTGATTCTCTATCTGGGATGAGTTGATATTTGTTCACGTTATCCCTGGAAAAATGTCATACAGCAAGAGGTCATGGGGGTGGGGCCCTGTGGTGGGATTAGTGTCTTAAGTAAAGGAAGGAAGACCAGAGTGATTGCTCCCTTTTTCATCTCCCTATCCCCACCCAGGCCCATTCTCTCAGCCACATAAGGACACAACATGAATACAGCCACCTGTAGTCACAAAGAAAGCCCTTACCTGCAGCAGAGCTGTCTGGCACTTGCTTCTGAGTTTCCAGTCTCCACAACTGTGAGGAATAAATGTTTTCTGTTCTAACCATCCAGCAGAACGTGCTTGTTATAGCAGCCTCAGCTGACTAAAACACAGTTATTAAGATTGCATTCTCATTTTTGTATTTTGGAGGAGGGTACCGGTGGTGGAGCTGAGGTATCTATCATTCATGCTAGGCAAGCACTCTAACATTGACTTGCTTCCCAGCTCTAATGCCTGCCTTCCCTGCCTTCCCTGCCTTCCCCCTTCCCCCAGTCAGTGGTTTTTTTTTTTTTGCATAGCCCTGGCTATATATTGGAACTCACTCTCTCACTCTGTAGACTAGGCTGGCCTCAAACTCAGAGATCTGCCTACCCCTGCCTCCCAAGTGTTGGGATTAAAGGAGTGTGCCACCACCACCTGGCCTAATTCCCCATTTTTATAGGTAACCTGTTGTTACAGTTTGGAAATGTCCCCAAAGGCCCATGTGTTGATAGCTGGGTCCCCAGCTTGTGGTGCCACTGGGAGATGGTAGAACATTTAAGAGGTAGGGTCTGATTGAAGGAAGTTAGGTCATTGAGGCATGCCATTGAAGGGGATAGCAGGCCCTGCTCTGTCCCTGCTCTCTGCCCCCTTTCTCTCTGTTTCTCCGCTTACTCAAGGCAAGCAGCTTCCTCTACCCTACCTTCCTCACTGTGATGCCTTGCCTTGTCACAGGGCTAAAGGTGATAGGGCCAAACAACATGGACTGAGACTTCTGCAACCATGAGCAAAAGTGACACAAGCCGTTTCTCTTTTTTGTTTTGCCAGGCTGAGGATAGAGTCCAGGTCCTGATGCTTTGTGTTTGAGTTACATTCCCAGCCTCAGTCTTTCTTAGTCTTTTTTCTTTTGATAGTGTCTCTCTATGTATCCTTGGCTGGTCTGGAACTTGCTATGTAGAGATCCACCAGCCCATTTCCCCAGTGCTGGGATTAAAGGCATATATCACTATACCTGGTTCCTTTCTTCTTTTTAAATTGATTATTTCAAGTATTTTGCCACAGCAATGGAAAGCTGACTAACATAGCTGTTCTCCACAGAGCTAGGCAATAGTAAAACATGGCTTGGAATCCAAGCAGGTAGTTCTCAGAGTGTGGCCTCTTCCCTGTTATGCTGAACCACCTTCTGAAAACTAGGCTACCTCTCTGTTCTCAGGCCACACTTTAATGGGGTAAGTACTACCCACTAAGAGAGCAGAAACTGGGCAGGGCTGAGACTTGGGAGCCTCACCAAGTGTTGTGGGAATCATGGGTCAGGCTCCCTCACTTACCTGAGGGAGATGTGGGTAACATGAAGGTTCCCTTGCTTACTGGTTAATCATACCCTCCTTATCTGTGACATCAAATCCATGCCTGGAGGAGGTCTTCATGCACCTATGCAGTGACTTGTTGGTGACTCAGCCACCACTGAGCACTAACTGTGGTGCTCAGTGTTAGAGAAAGGGGGGAAATCGCCTCTTTCCATCTGGAGTGTACAATCAGTAAATGAGACAGTGGTGTGGCCATATACAAGCCACTGCACATGGCTTGCCTCGCCTCTCTTACCTCCTGTCTTGGTTGAGGTCCATGTTCCACATAGCTATGGGATACAAGAGTCAGGGAGTTGGGAAACCTGGCTCTAACCTATTTGGCCTCAAGTCTATCAACCTGTATTCAGTTGTCTTTACCCCTCTGAGCCTTTATTTCCTAGTATCTAACAGGGGGTAGTGCTAGGTAACTCTTAATACTATTAATCTAGTCATCTCCCACATCTGTTTTCCACTTTCTTCACAGTCATGAAGTCTGACAGCACAGTCATATATCATTAAAAACTTTTCTATTGTATTTTAAATTGTGTGTGTGTGTGTGTGTGTGTGTGTGTGTGTGTGTGTGTGTGTGTGAGACGGCATGTGAGTGGAGGTCAGAGGATAACTTGCAGGAGTCTGTTCTTTCCCTCCACCCTGTGAGTGCCAGCAATCAAACATAGGCTTAACAGCAGGCTCCTTTGCTTGCTGGGACATCTCATCAGCCCCTTGTCCGTTTAACCAAGTGATTAGTCAATATTATATACTTGTGTGTGAGAGGGTTTAAACGCACACATATGTCAGCATGTGTGTGGAGGTCAGAGGGCAGCTCGTGGAAGTCAGTTCTCTCATTTCACCATGTTCTGAGGTGGGGGCTCTCTTGTTTCTGCTTGGCTGAGTACTCTAGGCTAAGCTGGTCTTTGAGCTTTCAGAAGGTTCTTCTGCCTCTGCCCCTCCCCTTGCCCTAAGAGTGCTAGGATTATAGACACTCCTGCCTGCATCTGGCTTTTTAGGAATTCAGGGGTTCAAACTCAGGCTGTTTTTTACCTGCTAAACCTACTGGCAGACCCTGGCTGAGCCATCTTGTAGACCCCAGCCTCACTCCTCTTGAGTCCATCATTCCAGGCCTCCTTTTTAGCAAGACTTTACCAAATCCTCATCTTTGGACAGTGAGCCCCAGTGTAGTGGGCAAACATAGGCATCTCTCACTTCTGAGCAAACTTCCTGCTCCACTCTCCCTCCTTTCCATGGGTGAGTGGCAGTCAGGGAGGGTACCATCTATGACATAGAACAAAGTGAAAAGAAATTTGACCCTGCATGACTGTGTTACCCCATTAGCTTGGACTGCTAACATCTGAAGCTTCCCAAAAGCTAGAAATAAAACACCTAATGGTCTGAGCCATGGTACTTTGGGGTTTCTTTGTTACAGCCTCTCAGCACATGGACATGGAATTCAGGACATGGGATGTCTGTGGTTTTATTACTCATTCTTGTCTTCCTTTTATGTTAGCCTCTCCTCCCCCAATTTAGCTGTAGATGACAAGCACTGTCACTTAGGGTTTTTACCTACTTCTCTAAGTATGGTTTATCTACCCAGCCCATGGGACTCATCAGATGGGGAACCAGTGTGACATCAGAAAGACAGTAGTAGAACCCCATCCCATTGTCAAGAGGTTACTGCATCATCTCCTCCCAAGAGGGGTGCCCTTCTGGAGTCCATCTTCACAGTGAGCAGAGTCACACCTCA